AATAATAATAATAATAATAATAATAATAATAATAATAATATTATTATTACTCTGAGGGTCATTTTGAAAAACCCTTTCTTAGTGAGTCCCTAGAAGCCGAGAGAAACAGACAGGCCCAATTTCAAGTTTGTAGGCCTTACAGAGTCTGGAGATTTTGTGATGATGCGTGAGGGGCATTTCGCTTTTATATATATATAGAAGATAAGACATATAAACAGAGAAAGAAACCCACTTCCTTCGAGCACTGATGATGTTACCTAGTTGGGTCGTGAAACGTCTGCAAGTTAACAGCCATGCTCCGATAGTACCAAGGACCCCACAGTTCAACTCTGAGCTATAAATATTCTCTTCTAGCGTTTACAGGGACTCTAAATTTGGCCCCCTCTTAGCCCTTCTTTGAGTCGACCATTCCTGATGCAGGAACAAGGAGAGATTCAACCTGGAAATAAGGAGAAACTTTCTGACAGGGAGGACAATCAACCCCTGGAACAGAAGTTGCCTTTGGAAGTTGTGGGAACTTCATCCGTGGAGGCTTTCAAGAAGAGATTGGACTCCCATCGGTCAGAAATGGTGTAGGGTCTCCCACTTGGGTGTGGGGTTGGACTAGATGGCCTACAAGGTCCCTTCCAACTCTGATTATCTGAATTCTGGGAGTTGAAGTCCACAGGTCTTAAAAGTGGCCAAAGTTAGATATACCCACATCCCTGCTCCAAACCAACAGACTTCGGAACAAAATCGGAAAAAGCCAAAACGTCAGGAAGGTGGGGGCGTTGACTGGGTATCCCCCCCCTCACTCACTCCCCCCCACCCCAAGAAGCCATAAACAGGATGTGGGAGCAGGAAAGGGAGGAGGAAATGGGTGTGGAGATAGGAAGTGATGTGGAGCTGGACCAGAAGGAAGCGAGGGGTCCAGAAAATAATATTTTTTTCCCAGCCAAAGCAGAGCATAGAATCGCACATTCAAACCAACGGGAGCGTGTGGTTCGCTCCACCAAGGTTACTTAGCACAAAGCAAAGTCACAAGGACTGCTTTTTGTTTAATATTTAACTCAGTTTAATCTCGCTCAACATTCTTTTAAATCCATTGCTTTATTTTAACCCGCAAAAAAAAGCGGGGGTGGGGGAAAAGTCAAAATTCACTTTCTGGGATCTTCTCCAACAAAGCATCTCTTGGGCTGCTGCTGTTCTACCCAGGAGAATTAGTCCAAACTCATAATTATATATATTTTTTATTTTAAATATAAAATAAAGGTTATTTGAGATTCATACATTTAAAACATTTAAAAACATACAAATATATAAACAAATATATATACGTTTTCTTAAGTTTTCAGGGGTACTTACATGTATGGCATTCAGCTTTGTTCAGGTATTTTCCCACGTCATTGTAGTTGTGCTTTTAAAGTTGTAGCAACGTTTCGGCAGAATCTCATCTGCCATCATCAGGCTTCTATATTGTGTTCATCTGTGGGTGTTCATATGTATGTATGTATGTATGTATGTATGTATGTATGTGTATGTATATATATATATACATATACACACACACACACACACATATATACATTTTGCAGCAGGTATTCTGCCTTGTTACAATACCTTCCTCGTTCTTTGAATGTTTTAATTTCACAGAATACTTTATGATTAAACGCACGTCTTCCATAATTTCATAACTTATCCAGTTGTTAAATATTGCTTTTTCTTTAACCATTCATACCAACAATTCCAAATTTTATGATAGTCACTATCTTTGTTGTTTTTTAATAATTTAGTTAGGCTATCCATCTCTGCACACTTGTGAATTTTTTTTTTTAATGACCATCTCCTCTGAAGGGACAAGTAGACAGTTTCCAATTTTGTGCATAGCTTATTCTGGCTGCCGTTATAATGTGCAAGATTAAATATTGATATATATTTTTTCTATTTTTAAATCTATCATACCCAGCAAGAAGGTTTCAGGTTCAAGTTTTACATCTTGTTTAGTTATGTTTAGACTCCAATTTTTAATGTTTCTCCAAAACTTCTGGGCATAAGGAAACTCATAATTTTAAATCCTGTGGACCACTAATATGAATTTTGACTGACGGTGGCTTGCTGACATTGGTGAGAGAGAGAGAGAGATATCTGATCTAATTTCTCTCTCTCTCTCTCTCTCTCTCTCTCTCTCTCTCTCACACACACACACACACACACACACACACACACGCATAGGGGTGGGATTCAAATTTCTTAACAACTGGTCCTGTGGATGTGGCCTAATTTGTGGGTGTGGCTTGGTGGTCATGTGACTGGCTGGGCATGGCTTGTATGTAAATACTATAAATATGTAAATATTGATTTTTTTATTAAAAAAGAGCAACTTTTACCCAAAATCAGGCAAAGCTGGCAGGTAGATTGAGTTGCACACAGAATCACAGATTCACTCAAAGCTGTCTTTCTCGCATCGGCTACCTGAGTCTGTCACATAACATTCGCTAGCAAGCAAACTCACAAAATTAACTCACAACGCACTCCCTTTTAAGACTGATGATGTTACCTAGTTGGGTCATGAAACGTCTGCAAGAAAACAACCAAACTCAGAGAGCACCCAGGACCCACTGTTGAGATTGGCTATCTTGGTAACGAAACCTCTGTAAGAAAGCAGGGAAACTACCTCTAAAAGGGATTAAGAAATATGAATGGATGGATGGATAGATAGATCAATATGGATGCTAGCTAGAGAGAGAGATAAGATAGATAGATAGATAGATAGATAGATAGATAGATAGATAGATAGATAGATAGATAGATAGATGGATGGATGGATGGATGGATGGATGGATGGATGGATGGATGGATGGATAGATAGATAGGATAGGATAGATTGTCTATCATCTATCTGTCATCTATTATTTATATCAGATAGATAGATAGATAGATAGATAGATAGATAGATAGATAGATAGATAGATAGATAGATAGATAGAGATAGAGATAGATAGGTACAGATAAATAGAGATAGAGATAGATAGATAGATAGAGAGAGAGAGAGGTAGAGAGAGAGAGAGGTATAGAGATAGAGGTAGATAGATAGATAGATAGATAGATAGATAGATAGATAGATAGATAGGGACAGATAGATAGAGACAGATAGATAGAGACAGATAGATAGAGACAGATAGATAGAGATAGATAGAGATAGATAGGTATAGAGATAGATAGGTATAGATAGATAGATAGATAGATATAGATAGAGACAGATAGAGATAGATAGATAAATAGATATAGATAGAGACAGATAGAGATAGATAGATAGATAGATAGATATAGAGACAGATAGAGATAGATAGATAGATAGATATAGATAGAGACAGATAGATACAGACAGATAGATAGACAGACAGATATAGATAGATAGATAGATAGATAGATAGATAGATAGATAGACGGACGATAGACAGACAGACAGACTCAGTGACCAGCAACAAACCCTCTGCTGCAAACCCCTCCCTTTTGTCGGAGGGGTGTGGCCGTTGTCCTAGCCAATCCGAGGGGGGTGCAAGGATGAAGAAGGTACCTTCATGTCCACCCACACCCCACCCACCCACCCCCGGCCACGAAATGTAACGCATACAGACACAGAACTGGAATGTGCCAACCGCCTCCTGGGCTGCCGTCCCAGGACAAATGTGTTTGCGCAAACAAAGTCGTTACGCAAGAAAGAGCCCCACCTGGCTTGACCTGAATTGCCTTGGCATGAAATGTCTCAGGTAGGCATACCTGCGGCCGGTGCTGGTGGTGGTGCTCCTCCTTCCTGCCCCTCCCTCCCTCCCTCCCTGGAAGGGATCCAGGTGTTTTTTTCAAAGCGAAAACAGATCTTTGGTCTTCCTGCCTGATTCCCGAGATACGCAGGGAAGAGATCTGGCAGGGCACCCTGCGAACAAACACACACCCACTACACACACCCACTACACACACACACACTACACACACACACACACACACACCTCTGGCAAGTCCCGGCCAGCAGTTTAGCTCTTCATTTCTTTTGATCGTTTCAAATGTTTTAATTTTATTTCCGAAGTTAAAATGCAAAATAAAAGTTTTAAAAAAGGAAGGAGGAATCAACTACCAGCCCACCAACGCTAACAATATTATATTTCTTATATCTATCTGTATCTATAAAAGCGAAATTACCACTCATCACAATAGTCCCAGAACCGTCAAGGGGGTTGAAGTTCACCCCTTTTAAAATTGCAGAGATCGGGGGACATTGGCAAGAGAAAAATGGAATTAAACTAAAACCTGAAGATTTGATGGTGCGGTGTTTGTCCTCTGGACCCCCTCAAAAGTTTTATTTTCTTTGTGTGATGTGATGTAATCTCTAGAGGTTGGACAAGGCCTGCGTTCAAATCCTCTCTCCGCCACGAAGAGAGGTGTGCCACTATGGGAACGCCCCTTCCTAAGCTCCGAGAGGAAAGGGAAGAAATACGACGCCGATGGGGGGGCGTGACGGTCGTTGTATGGCACTGAACGCACATCCAACTTTTGTCTCCCTTGCAGCATCAGCCCCAAAGATCTGAAGACCATGTTACCTCAGGTCAACTACCGGGTACCGAATATGCGTTTCCTTCGAGATAAACTGGTGGTAAGCGGATAGCCTTAGCAACAGCTCTTACACTTCTAGACCGCTTCACAGTGCTTTTACGGCCCTCTCTAAGCGGTTTTAGAGAGTCAGCCTCTTGCCCTCCAACAGTCTGGGTCCTCATTTTACCCACCTCGGAAGGATGGAAGGACGAGTCAACCTGGAGCCGGTCAGGATCGAACTCCTGGTAGCGGGCAGAATCAGCCTGCAATGTTGCACTCTAACCACTGTGATTCCATGGCCCTTCCTTCCTTCCTTCCTTCCTTCCTTCCTTCCTTCCTTCCTTCCTTCCTTCCTTCCTTCCTTTCCCTTCCTTCCTTCCTTCCTTCCTTCCTTCCTTCCTTCCTTCCTTCCTTCCTTCCTTCCTTCCTTCCTTCCTTCCTTCCTTCCTTCCTACTTAGCAATAGTACTTCAGACTTATATACCGCTTCCCAGTGCTTTCCATCCCTCTCTAAGCGGTTTACAGAGTCAGCCTCTGGCCCCCAACAATCTGGGTCCTCATTTTACCCACCTCGGAAGGACGGAAGGCTGAGTCACTTGAGCCGGTCAGGATTGAACTCCTGGCAGTGGGCAGAGTCAGCCTGCAATCCTGCAACTCTAACCACTACGCCACCACAGCCCTTCCTTCCTTCCTTCCTTCCTTCCTTCCTTCCTTCCTTCCTTCCTTCCTTCCTTCCTTCCTTCCTTCCTTCCCCTCCCTCTCTCCCTCCCTCCCTTCCTTCCTTTCCCTTCCTCCCTTCCTCCCTTCCTTCCTTCCTTCTTTCCTTCCTTCTCTCCTTTCCTTCCTTCCTTCCCTCCATCCCTTTCTTCCTTCCTTCCTACTTAGCAATAGTACTTCAGACTTATATACCGCTTCCCAGTGCTTTCCATCCCTCTCTAAGCGGTTTACAGAGTCAGCCTCTGGCCCCCCAACAGTCTGGGTCCTCATTTTACCCACCTCAGAAGGACGGAAGGCCGAGTCGACCTTCAGCCGGCCAGGATCGAACTGCTGGCAGTGGGCAGGGTCAGCCTGCAATCCTGCAACTCTAACCACTGCGCCGCCACAGCTCCTTTCGTACTTTCGCTTCTTTAATCCCCTTGCACGCTAGTCGAAGGGGGCGATGCTGTAGATGCGGAGTATGTGGATTTCTGCAAAGCGGGAGAGGCTAGCTATGCTTGTGACAAATGATCAAACATGGGTTGGCTTTGAACAATCGCCGTAGACTTATATATCACTTCACAGTGCTTTGGCAGCCCTCTCTAAGCAGTTGATAGAGTCAGCCTATTGCATTGAGCCAGCGAGAATCGATCACCTAGCTGTGGGCAGAGTTAGCCTGCAATACTGCGTTCTAAGCGGAAGGAAGGGTGGAAGGATGGAAGGAAGGAAGGAAGGAAAGGAAGGATGGAAGGAAGGGTGGAAGGAAGGAAAGGAAGGAAGGAAGGGAAGGAAAGGAAAGGAAGGATGGAAGGAAGGAAAGGAAGGAAGAATGGAAGGAAGGAAGGGAAGGAAAGGAAGGATGGAAGGAAGGATGGAAGGAAGGAAGGAAGGGTGGAAGGAAGGATGGAAGGAAGGATGGAAGGAAGGATGGAAGGAAGGAAGAAAAGGAAGGATGGAAGGAAGGATGGAAGAAAGGAAGGAAGGGAAGGAAAGGAAGGAAGGAAGGAAGGATGGAAGGAAGGAAAGGAGGATGGAAGGAAGGAAGGAAGGGAAGGATGGAAGGAAGGAAGGAAGGAAGGAAAGGAAGGATGGAAGAAAGGAAGGAAGGAAGGAAAGGAGGATGGAAGGAAGGAAGGGAAGGAAAGGAAAGAAGGATGGATGGAAGGAAGGAAGGAAGGATGGAAGGAAGGAAGGAAAGGAAGGATGGAAGGAAGGAAAGGAGGATGGAAGGAAGGAAGGAAAGGAAGGAAGGAAGGAAGAGCACTAGCACTTAAGACTTCTATACTGCTTCACAGTGCTTTCCATCCCTCTCTAAGCGGTTTACAGAGTCAGCCTCTGGCCCCCAACAATCTGGGTCCTCATTTTACCCACCTCAGAAGGACGGAAGGCTGAGTCAACCTTTGGAAAGAAGGGAAGGGAGGGAAGGAAGGAAGGAAAGAAAGAAAGGAGGGAAGGAAGGAAGGAATAGCCTTTAGAATTACATCCCGCTTCACAGTGCTTTTACAGCCTTCTCTAAGCGGTGGCCAGACTCAGCCTCTTGACCCCTAACAACCTGGGTCCTTGTTTTACTGACGTCGTCGCTGGTAACCGTTGGAACCGGAGTCTCAATACGTGGGAGGGATCCAGGTTGAGTGGGAGATTTAATCTGGTCTCAGCAAATTTAAATTAATTCTTCCTTTTCTCTTCTGGGTCCGGGCAGGATCTGGAGGTTTGTGGTGATATCACCTTCAGCCATTTCACGCAGTTCTACAAAAACCTGATGTTCGATGCGCAGAAATCGGTAAGAACCTATTTTAACATTCATTTATTTTTTAATGTAAACATTCCATCTTCCATTAAACAGTGTTTCGCCTGCTTACAATTATCTCTGTGCAATAACCCGTCAAAATTACACGACAGTATACATATATTATTTTGATATTGACTCTCTAGTCTGGCCATCGCAGTGTTGTATATAAGGTAATAAAAGTTTCCATTTCTCCCTCTTAACTTATCTTCTAATAAAACTATAGTGATCACGTTAAACATCGTAGGCTTAATCGTCATATCAAGGACAATCATCCTATGGTTTACCTCTCTATCTTAACATACGGTACTTTTCATAATTCACTAATCTCATTTTATTTCTAACTTCCTTTTTTCTTTAGAGTAATTCCCATATCGTGTCATACTCAGTAAGTTCTTTCTCCTTAATTGCCAGCGTTAGTCTATTCATTTCTGCACCTTCTAATATTTTCCTAATCACCTCCTTGTCAGTCGGAACCTCTTCACTTTTCCAATTTTGTGCAAATTACCATTCTAGCTGCAGTTGGTACATGAATATACTCTCTATATAAAAAAGCGAAATACCACTCGCGCATCATCACAAACTCTCCAGAACCGTAAAGCCTACAAACTTGAAATTGGGTGCGTATGATCCTCTTGGCTTCTAGGGGCTCACTAAGAGAAGATTATTATCAGAGCATTTAGAGTACATGTGAAACTCAAAAAATTAGAATATTGTGCAACAGTTCATTTATTTCAGTAATGCAACTTAAAAGGGGAAACTAATATACGAGGTAGACTTATTGCATGCAAAGCAAGATAGTTTGAGCTGTGATGTGTCACGATTGAGATGATGATGGCTTACAGCTCATGAAAACCCCAAGTATTTAAATATAAATTGGTAAGAACTTTTAGCCTCCATTGCAGGAGTGTTGTGTTGGAAGAGCAGGAAGGAGGCGTCTGATCGATGTAGTCCTTGACTTATAACAGTTCATTTAATGATCAGAGTGACAACAGCATTAGAAAAAGCACATGCCAGTTGCCAAGCATTTTTGATTACGTGACCATGGGGCTTCTGCAATGTCGTACCTGTGAAAAAACAGCCATATTTTTCACACGTATGACGTGGCCACATCCCCGTGATCAAAATTTGGATGCTTTGGCCACCGATTCAACTTAACAAACGTGTGACCAACTTAACGACGGAAGTGATTCGCTGAACAGCTGTGGCCAAGGCAGGTCGTAAAATGGGGAGCAGAACTCCTTTAATACCTGTCTTTGCTTAGCAACGGGAATCTTGGGCTCAGTTTGTGGTCATAATGTGAGGATTACCAGCAGTCCCTTTTCTGACTTATACATTTGAATCAGAGGTGGAAACTTTCTACCGATAAAGCAGTCGAGTTAGAATAATAGAATGAATAAGCTGGAAGGGACCTTGGAGGTCCTCTAGTCCAGCCCCCTGATCGGGCAGGAGACCCTGGGCCATTTCAGACAAGCGACTCTTCTTAAAAACCTCCAGTGATAAGAGCACCCACAAATTCTCTGGGTCACCAGTTGTCAAACTTTGGATCCGAGACATAAAGCCTCCCTTTTTCACATCGGTCGTAACTCCAGACGGTCCCTAAGCGATTGGTTCGCGAGTCAAGGACCACGGAAGTCCTTGAGGTACGACCGCCACTGAGCCCAAAATTCCCTTTGCTAAGGCTCCATTCTACGACCTTCCTTCGCCATAGTTGTTAAGTGAATCCTTTGGCCGCTAAACAAATCTGGCTTTCCTCCCCTTTGACTTGGCTTGTTGGAAGCAGCCCGCAACCGTCGTAAGGGTGAGTCAGTTGCCAAGCAGATGAATGTAAACCCCGTGCCGCGACGGTCGTAAGCGTGAAAAGCCATCATAAGTCGCTTTTTTTCAGTGCTGCTGTCGTTTGGAACGGTCACTAAATGAACGGTTGTAAGTCAGGGACTAACTCTAACCGTTTGACATCACGGAAGGGAATTCCGAGGGAACCTTAATGCTTAAAAATACCTTTTCTTAAAACCTCCGTCGATGCCAGCCGTGTGAGCGATTAACACCCCGGGGACCCGACGAACGTTGCTGATCTCCATGTGGTCTCTTTGCCTTTCAGATCATTGAGCAACTGGAGCTGTCCTTCCCCTTGCGGTGAGTGAGGAGGGGGCGTGCCTCGGTTCTCCCCCACCCCCCAAACTGTCTCCCCTTGGGCCCAGGTGCTCGTAACCGGGGCGTTGCGTGGCCTCTGTCTACCGGCTTTGGGACGCTTTCCCTGATTGTGACTGAGCCCGCTTGACCAAACGTAAGATTGGCACCACGGGGGCGGTTCTCTCCCAGGGTCAGCCGGGGGCCTCCCAAAATTGACCAAAGCAAACAAAAAGCAAAAAGAAAAAAAAAGAAGGAATATCCCACCCGGAGGTCTAATTATTCTCTCTGTAATTAAAGGGAGCCTCCTTCGAAACTTCTTATAGCCCCCTATTTTCTGACCTCTGCAACTTTAAGACAGGTTGTCTTACTCCTCCTCCTAGTCCT